AATATGATCTAGCTGAGATGCCTAGGATCCAGTGGACATGCCCTCCAAAAGTAAGCAGATCTATCTGTTCTTTTGTTTCTAAAAAAAATAAATTGCTTTTCTAATTTCAAAAGATCTCTAGTCTTCATATAGGTTTTGTACCATGGTGGTGAGAGACTTGTGGTCTTCTGAATTGTTTTATATCAACTTGTGGCATATTATTATCTTGATATTTTCTGTCTTGAATTGGACTCAATATCTAACCTTTTGCTTTTTGTCACATTTAAACAGTTTGTCTTGAATTGCAACTGGCACGTTGTAGCGGCTGAAGAGAGTGAGGAGGTAGAGGCTCAAACACTGCGAGAAATGAGAGTGCTTGAAGCAGTTTATCCTCGCCTTTCTGCCATTCCTCCTAGGTACAATTTCATCCTTACTTCTGCAGATCTCTAGTAGTTCCATTTGTCTTGATCTGACTGTCTTAATTATCCATTTTTTGTAGTCCCTCTGTTTCTATGGATGTAGAAGTTGAACCTTATGATGATAGGCGAACTCCTCTTGTTCCTCTAACTCCAATTGAAGATGAGGAGGGTGCAGATGTATCATCAGATTTTGCTATTCAACCAAAAACTCTCTCCAACTCCCAGACAGCTGCGTTGATAATGCCCCAAGGTCTGTTGGGATCCGGAACTCACGGTATGCCAAATTGCCCTAGTTCTGCTGTGAAGTCACCTGCCCTTGACATGTTGCCTGGTGCACGCTCTGATGTAGTTGTAGCTGCTTCGGCTGCCTTATCTGTGATCATGAAAAGCAAAGAGCAGGGAAATTTGATTGACACTGAGTTGCTCGTTAAAATCCTTAGTGATCCAAAGATGGTAGAGAAATTAATTCAGGATCATGGTAATCTACCCGCTGCTGCCAATGCGGTAAGTACACCTCTACACACCTCAGAGCCAGAAACTGTAATAACTTCTCTGCCCCGCTCAACACCTGCTATAGTTCCATCCCCAATGCCAGCTGACAGAAACTCAAACCATTTCATAAAAGAGTTCCAACCTCCATTAACTATGCCAGCTCCCAGGGCAGACATCGTTTCCGTTTCTATGCCTAAGAGAGTAGAGCCTTCAGTTCCCTCATTTGCGGATATAAATATGATTTCTGGACATAGGGCTGCAAATGGTAATGCATACTCCACCTTGAACAAGATGCAACCTGCTCTTAGTATGATACTTGTTCAGCCAAAAACTCTTCCGGAAGTGCAGCCTGTTATTAGTTCAACACCTATGCAACTAAATGCTGGTCTAGCTGTTGCCGCGATGGCAGCGAACCCTGTGAAGGATGCTAACTATATTAAGAACCTGATTAGGGAACATGGAAGAGAAAAGCAAGAACCTAAAGTGCACAATATACCAAAAACTGCAAGTCATCTTAACCACACCCAGAACCAGAATATGGTACAGAACATAAAACCTGTGGCATTGAAAGCCAAGTTTCAAAAACCTTGCATGTATTTTAGCACTCCCAAGGGCTGCCGGAATGGGTCCAATTGCCTTTACCTGCATGACAAGTCATTACAGTGGCAAACAGGCAGAACATTGGAGTTGGAAGCTCCAAGTGCCAAGAAAATGAAATTAGGTTGGGAAATTACAGGAAGGATCTAAGAAAGATGGATGGCATTTAATTTTCAGTGTAAATATCCTTTTTCTTTTCCCCTCATTTGAATCCTATATAGAATTTGAGCGATTTACCACAAAGAGAGGGGAGTTCAAAAGTTTGGTAGAAGAGAAATGTAAGAAGAAATTTCATATTTAGAAGAACTTCACTCGGAACTTGTAAGCATGACAGGAATTTTTCAATGGGAACAAGAAGCCATGCTGAGGAAGAACATGATAATGGTTGTAAACTAAGATAAATTTTATCCATTACATTCATAAATCAATTTAATTAGATAGATATTTCTTCAAAATAACAAACGGCGTTAATAAATCTGATTCAATTACTAAATCTTAGCTTATGATTTTATTTATATCGAGAATTTTTCTTAAATTAAGAGATGGAATTTAATTTAAGTAATTAGATAATATACTAATCAATCAATTAAATACTACTTAAAAATACTCTTTTTTAAGTAGGGGATCAAACACTTTATACCTTATCATTTTCATTTTTTCTACTTTATGCCCAAAGCAGACGATGGATGATGATGAAGACCTTGTTTCATTCCAAAATAAAGTGCAATTAGTGGCAAAAGGAAACAAGGTCTCAAACTTGCTATCTTTCTCCTATCCAACTATCAGAGGACATAAAATCTGCCTGACTCGCTGAGTTTTCACACACTAAACCTGCAAAAAACTCATTCCTCATTTGAACAGGAATATTTCCCCATCAAACCCACTTAAAAGAGTACAAAATTAATGAAACAGAGAGTGAGACAGGGAGGTTGGGTTGGGGAGGGAGATCTATATTTTAACCAAAAGCTTTTATTATGAACAAGTAAACAATCTCACACCATAAACCAAAATGGTTCTGCAATTAAATGCTTTAAGCAACCAAATTTGTTCGCAAGCGTTTAGGTCATTGTCAAAGTGTAAAGTACCACTCGATAAAATTGGCCATAGGCATTACCAAGAACAATTTCAGAATATTCTTGAATATATTTTCTGAATACACTGAACTAAATTACTTGATATATCCAGGCATCATCAGCGATGATAATCAACCAGTTCTCATGATGATGTGAACCCCGCTATCAGTATCCACAATGTCACTTATCTCACCAACTTTAAGAGCATAAGTTGCAATCTCGAACGGCTTCTGCATCTGGCCTTGACCAAAACGACCTGCACAGAAAGTTTATATTAGGTTTTGTTCAGATTATGACATATAATGCTGGTAGCACAAACTAACCCAAGGAATCATGAACAATATCAGAATAGGTCATGTTCCTTGTAGTATATTGATAAAGACGATTACACTAATATAACAGTAAGTCTTAATTTGCAGCGAAAAGCTCAATGTCAATAATGGCATAAAATGATATAACATGCCCATTATCACAAAATGTCCTTGAATTAAATGATTGTTTAGCTTCGCATGTGGAATAAGTAGTGTGCCTTGCAACCTTGGGATCAAATCCTGTAATCAAAACTCCATAAGGGATAAGAAGAGTTATTTCCTAAAAGGGTGAGATAGGTCAAAGTTATCCATTTTATATATACATATATAAAATTTTTATCTTTTTCAGAAGCACAAGATACAAAAAATACATGAGACAAGGGGTTGATCCATCAATTAACCTAGGAAGACAATTCGTGAAAGATTATCACCACAAGAAAGAATAATAACAGACAAAAAATCAGATACAAAACGCTCTTGTCAAATTCTCAGCTTCCATGAATTTTAAGCAAAATAAAATGCCTCTGAACTACAGTTTGTATGTGCTTTAAATACTCCCATTTTGGAAAGCATCATGGTTCCCTTCACAAAAACCTTTACTTAAGTTACCTCAAGTGTTAAAACTTTGCAATTCTGCAAAACAGGTAATTTGGTTTGCCAGGTTGAAATCTTGAGTTGCCAAGCAAAACTCAGCCGTCAAAACAGATTAAGACTTTAATTCTTCAAAGCAATACTCAAACACAGAAGCAAAGCAAGCAACAAAACTAGGGTTATTAATACATTGGATATCTCTTGAGCCGATGGATGACTCAGAAACAACCTGTTGAGTAAACCAAACTGACCATTACAGCTCCAATTTGCAGAAGTGTGCAATGCTCACGTTTAGAGCATTAGGGTATCCCAAAATTTCTAACATCTTTAAGACTTGAAACCCTAATTCCACTTTACCTCAAATCTCTGTTTTTCCGACGTATTCAAAAACCCTAGTAACTAAAAATAAGCATTGAACAAATCCATGACTATATGACTCGATTGGGATTCTCTTTTCAATCATTTGTATTACTCAAAGCTTCTTCTTTTTTTTCCTCCCAATATTCAGCTTCTGGCAATTTTCTAAGCAACCAAATCAACGATATCCTTAAAAGTTTGAACTTTTGCACTTGCAATCAATTCAAAAGCAAAGGGGAACAAGCTTACCGAGATCCCCGCCGCGTTTAGCAGAGCTGCAATCGGAGTAGCGAGAAGCAACCTCGTTGAACTTAGCCTTGCCCGAAACGATGTCGTCACGGAGGGCTTTGAGCTGCGAGACAGCAGCGTCTCGAGTGGTGTTGGAGATGACGCGGCCTTCTGGATCCTTCCAGGAAGCCTTACGGCGAGAGCCTTGGTGCTTGATCAGTATGTGGGATGCCGTCACTTGATTTGCCGCCGTCGATGATGACATCTTGCTCTTCTTCCTGTGGTGGTGGCTTTGGTGGTGGTGGTGGTGGTTGCTGGTGCTTGTTGGGTTCTTGCCTTTCAGTTTCTCCGCCGCCTCGGTTCGATCTGCTGACGAGATCGAAGCTTTCTTCCTCTTACGATCCGAATCTATCTTCGCAGCTTTCGGGAGACTGCAAAAAGAGTGGAAATGCAAAAACAAAACAAAGAACAAGGCGGCTGCTTTACCGTCAAGCTATGGGTTTTAGTTTTATCATGAGGGAAAGCCGCTGTTTATCTTCTGACGTGGCGTTCCTTCATTGGTGGTAAAAATCAATTTGATTATTCTTAAAAATTTTAAGGCTTTTCCTATGAAGAAGACATTAACGATAGTTGGGATTCTCCAGTATTTGCAAATATAGGACTTAATGCTCCAAGAACAAGCCAAATTTGAGAATAAATGACTGATTTGTTCATGTAAATGCTATTTCCAAGGATGAATCAGAGGATTACAGGCTTTGGAAAATGATGGAAACTGGCTTGGATGCTTTGCCACTTGCATGCTAACACAAGTGGCAATATCAATGAATCAATTTTCAGGCTAGCATGTTGTTTTGACTTGAGTTGCCACAGGGATTTAAATCATAATCAGATTGGAAACTCTGGAATTCATTACACTTTGAGGCCTAGAAGACTCTGTGCCAAGCCTTTGTAAGTTTCCCAAACTGATTGATTCATTGATCTATTGGAAAACATACTGTGCTTTTATGCCTGGAGAAATTTTCAATCTGCAAAAGAATACTACATTTGATTCAATTTCCGTCCAAACAATCAGCCTAAGCTCAGCTAAAAGGTTAAAAACCCACAAAATCAAGTCGCTCAGCTGGGAAAATGCAAGAGTTTTCATTTGTCTGAAGCTTTACTCCGATGGCCAGCTATACATCTGTCAAAACAGGCCAACCTTTTCTGATAATTTCATTTATCTTTGCATCAATCTGCTTTTGCATCCTTGGGGGGCAAAGCTCTGCAGCATATCCATTCAGTTTTGTTGCCAGATTTGACCTCTCAAGCTCATCTTCAGGCAGATTTCCTATCAGCTGTAGCAGCAACGGATGGCGTTTGAGCTCAAATTTCTGTGGCATTCAAAACATTGAAATTTATAAGTCATTTACCTATCGCAGCCATAAATCATTTGCCTTCTAAATCTATATGGTATATAGTTTTCAGTTATCCAAATTCATGTGCACATAGAAACCTGGTTAGTGGTTATCAGTTGATAATTACTATTAACACAACATTCATGCTTGAGCTTGCCAATTACACTGGTCTAAAAGCAAAAGTTTAAAGCACTGGGGAAAAAGGAACAAATAGATAGAAGACAATAAAAAAAATGGCAATCGAAATGACAAAGATAGCAACTAGACAAGAGGAGAAACCATTTTCTTCCCAAATGAGATGCAATTGAAATTAATTAGTTCATGATGCCGTCCGTACCCAGCATGCTCCCAATAACAGAAATCCTTAGAATCCTTATTCAGTGCTAAACAAGCATCCAACCCAACCGGCTTGTTATTTCAAGTTCAAATGTATTAAACAAGTTCAGCGCATTATAATCTAAGGCAACTGACAACTTAAAGCAGCTTGTGGATCATAAGCTACAACAAGCAACTATCACACAATGTCACCTCCTTACAGCCTCTTTCAAACAAGAAAAAGAAATGGGAGAGCATTAAACCTGATGTTCAGGTTCCGCAGGATAAAATGATCCAAGTTGTTGAACTTGAGTCGTCACAATGCTGTTCCGTGACTTGGTTTGCTCCCTTTCTTTGCTCATGGCAGCTAATCTAGCCTCTTCAGTCCCATTCGTAAAAATAATAGACCTGTTGAATTGAGATATGAAAGTTTATCATTAAAAAAGTGTGGGAATGAAGTAATAAAATGGTTTGTTCTTTTATTTTTAGTTACCCCATACCTGTATTGATTACCTACATCTGGACCTTGGCCAAATACCTGCCTTGGGTCATGCCTAGACCAAAAAATCTCCAAAAGTTGCCTGAAATTAATCTCATTGGGATCATATTCAACCTGTCCATCATTCACATAGCATACACTCAATCAAATTTAAATGGAAATACCAACACTCTTTTCAAACATTTTTATAAAAATCAGATATTTTCCATATTAAGTGTTCAGCCATTAATTTTCCTTCTCTCTTTTGGAAGAATTCATTCCGAAAACAACAGTATAAACTGTCACAAACTCAGCAACTAACCCAAGAACAGATCTGCGTCTACAATTTCTCAGGGATTATTAACAAAAGTTTTCCTAATTAAATATTCTAAGTTTTATACTCGGAAACAATGAAAGAAATACTAAAGGAAGAGGGCGTTGAAGAGAAAGTAACGGACCAAGACGGACTCCGCATGGTCGCCCAAACTTCTGTATTCGGGGTTGATCTTGGACCCGCCAGCGTAACCAGCAGTAGTTCGAACGACACCGTTCAAGCATCCGAAGACGGCCTCCGATCTCCAGAAGCTACCGAGAGCGAAGACCGCCGTCTTCAGGGACTGGTCTGAAAGGTCCCTAGGTGTGCCCGAGATCCGATCCGGAATGCGAATGGAAAATGCTTTACCGGCACATAGAATTGTTGACAATGAAGCCAAAGTTAAGAAATTAAGGAGAAGGATATTCCTCTCCGCCAAAGCCATTGCTTGTCGGGATCGTCTCAGGGTGAGAGAAAGAAAGAGAGGGAGATTCCGGGTCGATCAAGTACCCATGGTCGCGCTGTGATTGGGCTCAATTTTTTGAGAAAGAAAAAAGGATCAACGGTTGTTTGGGCTCGAGTCTTAGGGACCTGGTTTCGTTGGGTCCGTTGGATCTCTCATGGCTGTAGGAGAATTCAGGTTTGAGTTTCTTAAAGCCTCAGCTGGGCTCATTGACAAGCCCATTGGGAATTTGTATTTGGAAATGGGAAACACAAACCTGAAGGGGATCAAAGTCTTACCGCTTAGGCCAATAGAACTATAACCTTGTTTTCTCGACCAAGCTCAAATTCTTTAACTAGTAGTTCGTGGCACTGGCCCCCGATCAAGGATTCAGCTGTGCGTTATTTTAGCACTTAGCAATGAAGATTGTTCATTTTCTCTTTATAAAATGAAGGTTGGAGAATGGAATTTCAAGTCAAGATAAGTTTTCAACCATTAATCCTGAGTTACAGAACTACAAATTGATACCTTCCCCTGGCTGTGCCAAGATATAGGGTCTAAAGGCCAGTCTCCAGATCAATCAAACTCTCACTCCAACCCAAAAAGTTCAGAAAGTTGGCTCCATCTAATCCCAAAAATGTAATTGACAGCCATCTCTGCCTTAACTAAGATCAGTCTTAGAACTTGCCCCGTTCAGCCAACTAAGTTGACATCCACCATATATTTGATACACAGCATGCAAAGCATCATATGAAAAGCTTGAGAGAGAACATGGATCATAAACATTGACATCAAACACTTGAGTAAAAATCCAAATTGAAAACATAACCATCCCTCAAACAACTCCAAACAGTACCATTATCTGATAATTCAAACAAAATTTGTAGCATAAATGTGCTGAATACTCTTGAATGTAAATATAAAGGGCAAAAGAACTAACAACAAGTAATATCCTAAGCCTAAGCCTTATCAGCCTTGGCAGCAGTAGCAGCAGCTTGTCCTCTGAGCCTACCAGTCCTCCTTGCAGCAATAAGACCAACCTTCTGCCCAGGTGGAGCATCACGCCTAACAGTACTAGCATGACCAATGTGTTGATGGTTACCACCACCGTGAGGATGCTCAACTGGGTTCATTGCCACACCACGCACCTTAGGCCAGCAGTTCCTCTTCACCTTAAACTTGTGGTAAGCATTACCAGCCTTTAGAAGAGGTTTCTCGGTCCTACCACCTCCTGCAACCTGGCCAATCATAGCACGACAGCCACTTGGAACAATCTTCTTGGAACCAGATGGAAGCTTGATCCTGTAACATCAAACTCCAAAAGGTCATTGCTGAAACCACTAATTACCCAAAACTTCCACCATCATGTTCATCTATATTTAATCATTATACATCTACTTTCAAAGATTAAGCAAAAAACCATCATTGAAGCACATAGGCATCAGCACGATAACGAAAAGGTCACATGTAGAGGCCAGTGAAATTTAACTAAACAGATAAGATACTGAAACTTCACATATAAAGGTCTGCAAAACTCAAACTAAATGGTACTCTTTCAGCTAAAACCTTAGCACTAGATCAAATCCGCGTGCTTAAAAGATGCTATTTCATTTTACATTCCATCAATTAATAATTAAAGCACAGCCAATCATTCGCATCCACCAATTAGATTAAGGTTCTTAAACTAGGCGTACATTTAAGCACAGATACCCATAGGAACACCTCAAGAAACAAAAAACATTATGCCAAAATATATACAGAAATGAGCAATTACCAAAGCAATATTAAAAACTTATAATATAACCAAAGAACAATCACATAGCCAATAGATCCCAAATTAAAATTAGAATTAAATCAGAGTAAGAATCAGAGACCTGGTGGTGTCGTTATCGGGGTTGTGACTAATAACAATGGCATAATCACCAGAACACCTAGCGAAAACCCCACGATCACCAACATGATGCTCGACGTTGCAAACGACAGCTCCTTCGGGGATAGATCTAAGAGGCAACACATTGCCGACCATGAGAGTAGCCTTCTTACCACAGTACACGAACTGTCCAGTGTACATGCCCTCGGAAGCGACGAACAGTTCCTTCTGCTTCTTGTAACGGAACGGGTGACGGAAGACGACGCGGGCTAAGGGTGCGCCACGGCCCGGGTCGTGGATGATTTCGGTGACGACACCCTTGAGGTAGCCATTTCGCTCACCGAAGTCGAGGCTGCGGAAACGGGCGGGACCCTTGCGGTGGTGGGTGTGGGCCTTGAAGACGGAACCCGCACCTTTACGCTGAGCTCTGATGACACGACCCATTTGGTGAGACTGTGTGTAGCTGTGAGGAGACCTCTCTCCTGGAGGCGGCCGATGGAAGAAAGTAGAGAAATGGGCGTGAAGGGTTAGGGTTTTGGTCAAGAAGCTTATATAGACATCAAGCAATCTAACGGCGCCGTTTAGGATATCTTGAAATCCAAAAAATTTAGGCCCAATATCCGTTCGGCCTGACATCTAAACAGGCCTAGTACCTGTTTGGCCTAACATCTCTCTCTTAAATGTACAATCCAAATTAAATAAAATTTTTGAAAAACTTTTAAAAAAATAATTTTTTAAATAATAAAACAAAAAAATACTAGAATTTTTTTTCTTTTAAAAATATGGCAACTTTTCAAAAAATATTCTTCTCTCAATCAACCTCTCTCAACACTTTTTTAAGAACAAAATTTAAAAAAAAACTAAAAAAAAAACTAGAAGCTTTTTTTGGAGTGAAGTTTTCTCTTTTTTAAAAAAAATACGTAACTTTTCAAAAAATTCTATTCTTTCAATCAACCTCTCTGTCTTCTCCTTTCTGTTTTGAAAAACAAAATTAGAAAACTTAACAATAGAATATCAAAATTTAAGATTTTTCTCAATAATAGAATATCAAATTCTAAAATTTTTTTATTCTTATAAAAATTAAGAGAAAAGAGAACTCAAAATTTAAAGATATGTTAACTTTTCGAAAAATATTCAAAAAGTACTCTTCTCTCTCAATCAATCACCCTTTTACTATTAGAAAAAAACAAATCAAAAGACTCAACAACAGAATAAAAAAATCATTAATTTTGAGATTTAGTTTTATTTTTTGAAGAGTTATTTTGTTTTTTTATAAATTTTTTTATTTTAATATTTGAAATGTTTATAAACTTTAAGTATATTTATTATTTTTTGAATTATTAAGTGATTGAGGAAGGCATTAATATTTGATAATTTTAATCAAAATTATAGTTTATATAATTTATTTTGTCAACTAGTTTTGGCTTAATTTTAAAAGTTATTATTTTTCATAAGAACTCCTAAATTGTTTAATGTCCAATTCCTATGGCCTTGGAAATTTAAAGGCTTGGAAAGAATTAATTACATGCATCAAGATTTAAAAATAAATTTATTCTTATAAATTTATGGAAGATTAACAAAGCTAGCTTATGTTAATTAGTTTGGGAAACCAAAATTTACACAAAACAATTTTGATTCTTTATAAACCATTTTTCCTATAAAATACATGTTATTTATTTATAAAAAGTGTTATCTAATTAACAGCCATATTTCCCATTGACAATGAAATTTTAAATTTGAATATTACTATTCTTTTTTTTTATATATAAAACTAAACATTCATCGATCATTCCTTCTCCTAATGAAGAACAAACACATAACCCAAAACATCATACCCTGATTAAATTTTTAATTTAAAACTTGTAATATGAAAGGTGTGAGGGTCTCCTAATTTCTACCGTTTTAATACCACGAGCTTGATATTTTCTCATCAAGAAATAGTAGCACATCATTTTATTTGATTTTATTGAACAACTAACTCTACATTGTATATTATTTTACAAGAAAATTAAGTATGTAATGATCGATTCTAACATAAATTAGACATTATCATTTTTTATAGTATACACTTGAATATTATTATTTTGTCTCTCAATCGATTTTATGAAAATGAAGGAATAACAGAACTACTGAAACAATCTATTTGATTTTTGTTAGATAAAATCATGCAATTATTATTATTATTATTATTATTATTATAAACTAATGAAGGTTTCATAGCTTTGAAGCAACAAAAGAGGTTAATGAGAGTTGTACCAAAGATGTGGTGAAAATGAATCTACTCCCTGTAAAAAGAGTAAAACCCACACCTTTTCCATAAAAGAAATTGATTTGCCCATATCAATCAAAGATACTTTGTTCAACCTGGTCCCACCATTAAACCACAAAACACTGTTAGCACCTACTAACCTTTCTTTTCTTTTCCTTCCCAATATAATCTTGGGCGTTGATACCATTCAATATCGGTGGATAAACGGCCCACCAGGTGCGGTAACACGAGGCCTTTCACGAACCTAACTACACCGTCGCACTCCACCTAAGGAGCGGAGTAGTACCCAATCATACACCACCACGTGTCGGAAGGGGACCAATACGCAGAAGCAAACGAAATCCAGTTCAAAGCTTTTGAAAAGGTCAATTGCGTGCTGACAATACGCCGTCGCTTTTTCCCATCTCGGGGAGCGTTTTAAAGAGAAACTCCAGATAGCCAAACCCGCTCCTCCCACTGTCCAGTCTCTGTTCTTCCCTCTTCACATTGTGAAGAAGAAAAAGGACAAAGAAATTAAAAAATAATAGAAAATCTATACATTTTACGAAATATATTTGATTTTTGAATGCTTATTTTTTACTTAAGCGAATCGACTCTGGGGTTCAGTGATCGCTGATAATCTGCATTTCTTCCGGTAAGTCCAATTCAGTTTCTTTTTTAAATTTTTTGTAGTGAAAAAGAAAGAGTTTAATTTGTTTTTTTTTTTTGAAAGTTCAATGAATTTTTTGGTGTTCTACTTTTTTAACTACAAAAAGGGTTTTACATTCAGGGTGTGAATTTTGAAATGGACCGAAGAGGTTGGCCATGGAAGAAAAAATCTTCCGAGAAAGCTGGAAGTGAGAAACAGGCAGTTGGAGCAGATGGAACCAGTGCTTCATTGTCTTCCTTAGCATCTCTTGGAGATCAGGTTAGTTAGGAAAAACCCCAGAAAGCTTGACTTATGTATGAAGCTTTTTACTGATTATTTCAAGTTTGGGACTTTTGTTCTGTCTTGCTATGTACTGACAGGAAAAATGTAAGAAGGTAAACTATGTTCAAATACCGATGGAATCTTACGTACGGTTGACGGGTTTGGAGGATGAAGTTAACAGGTTAAAGGGTGAAGTCAAGTTATACGAGGAGGAAGTAAAGGAATTGAAAGGGAAGCTGTCTGCAGCTCAATCTGAGATCAATGCTAAGGATGGTTTGATTAGTCAACATGCTAAAGTTGCTGAGGAAGCTGTTTCAGGTATGGCTGAAAAATTTGTTCCCTCCACCTGTAATCCTACAATTTAAGAGTGATGATTGAGCCAAGTTTTTGTGTACTTTAGGATGGGAGAAAGCGGATGCGGAGGTTGTTGCGTTGAAACGGCAACTTGAGACTGTCACTCTCTCGAAGCTTTCAGTAGAGGATCGAGCATCCCATTTAGATGGTGCTCTTAAGGAGTGCATGAGGCAGGTAAGGAATGTAAAAGAGGAAAGTGAGCAGAAATTGCATGACGTAGTTCTAGCCAAAACCATACAATGGGACAAAATAAAGCTTGATCTTGAAGGGAAAATAGTTGAATTGGATCAACAGCTTTTAAGGGCAGCGGCTGGAAACCAGGCACTCTCAAGGTCATTGCAGGAGCGGTCGAATTTGATAGTTCAGATCGAGGTGGAAAAATCTAAAGCGGAAGCTGAAATGGAACTTATGAAGGAAAATCTTATGTCACGTGAGAAGGAAATAAGCTCACTGAAGTACGAGCTGCATATGATTTCCAAGGAGCTTGAAATTCGCAATGAAGAAAAGACTATAAGTATGAGGTCTGCAGAAGCAGCAAACAAGCAACATTTAGAAAGTGTCAGACAAATTGCAAAGCTCGAAGCTGAGTGCCAAAGACTACGAGGCCTTGTCCGGAAGAGATTGCCAGGGCCGGCTGCATTGGCCCAAATGAAGCAAGAAATTGATAAGTTTGGACGAGATTTCAGTGGACCTCAATCAAGAAGGAATGTGGTTAAGAATACTATTGCAAATTTGTCTCCACAGGTGGAATCTGCTGATAACTTGCCACAATCCCATAAAGAGATTGATTTCCTTACAATGCGTTTGTTGGAGATGGAAGAGGAAACAAAGATGCTTAAAGAAGCTTTGGCCAGTCGTAATAGTGAACTGCAGGCTGCCAGAGACATGTGTGCTAAGACACTTGTCAGGGTCAAGAGCTTAGAAGCACAAATACAGGCCCATAATAATCAAACATGCTCCCCTAAATCAAACTTGGGACTCCCTGCTGATGGTCCTTCAACTCAATATGCTAGCAATGCCCCCAGTACCATTTCCCTGTCTGAAGATGGGATTGATGAGGAAGGACTTTCAGCTGAATCTTTGGTACCAGCAAGCTCTGATATCTCTCGTTTGGGGATGGGGAAGAGCAGTTGTAAAGTTAACAAGCAAGAGAATGCCAATTGCTTGGAATTGATGGATGACTTTCTGGAGATGGAGAAATTGGCATGTGTGTCACATGATGTTGATGGAGCTAATGCTGTTTCAGACCATCCACTCAATGCTGGAAATTATGAAGCAGAATATAAGACACCGCTCAATACTGCCAAGGGTCAGGACCTCTTCTCTGATCAAGAGCTTTGTTCAAGTCAATCATCAAAGCAGGGTTCTTCAAGTGTAAGATCCTCCACAACAGAGCTTGGGCAAGATGCAGAAAATCTGCCCTTCTTGAAGCTTCAGTCAAGGATTTTTACAATTTTTGAGTCTCAAACGAAGGACCTGGATTTGGGGAAGGTCTTGGAGGACATCAAATCTGCTATATTGGAAATACAAGGATCTCTCCCTCAGCACTCAGTCACCTGTTTTTCTGAGGGAGTTCAAATAGGTCCCTCCAAACAAATGGGTGTGCCTGAGGAGAGTTTGATTTTGTTAGATCAAGAAGGCATTTCAAAGCACAATTTGGCATCTGCAATATCTCAGATTCATCAGGTTGTATTATCACTTGGCAGAGAAGCAATGAGAGTTCAGGACACTCAACCAGATGGCCATGGCCTAAGTAAAAAGTTGGACGACTTCTCTGCCTTTGTTGATAAATTTGTATTGAACGGAAAGGGTTTGGTTGACTTTATCTTGAAGCTTTCTCATGTTTTTGCCAAAGCTAATGAACTGAACTTTGGTGTCTTGGGCTTTGGGGGTGATGTTGGAAAAGTCAGCAGTGATGATTACATAGACAAGGTTGCTTTGCTAGAGAATGAGGTTCAGGAATACTCATCAAAACAGGCGTGTAC